GTGCTACTGATACTTTCTGCTCCACTCTTACGTCTTGTTTAGACACTGTCTGCCCCTTGTCTTCCAGGCCAGCTCGTACCACCTCTTCTGCCCCTTGGCTGTCTGATGTTCTCTGTGAGTATCGTTCTAAGCTCAGGGCTGCTGAAAGAGTATGGCGCAAATCACAAAATCCTACTGACCTTAATGTACAGTATATCGATCACTCCTCCCTTCATTCTCTGCTATTATTATTATTATTTATAACCAGTAGTCTCATCTCTTGACTGCTTACCTAACATGAGAATGATCACTTGACTTGATCAAATCCAACACAAATAAGCTTTAAATCTTGTTTAAATTTTGATGTGTACTGTAACTTCCCTGTTACTTGGTTTTATTACAGCAGCACTGTGTAACTTTTGGTGCTCTAGATAAATAAATTAACAGAACTGCACACATTCCGCGGAAGAACATTCCAACCGGAGCTACTTCTCTAAGTTTATGTCTCAGGCGAATCACGCAGGTATGTGTTACTCCGCAGAGGTGACGACCCGACCAGGCTACAATAGTCCAAATATAACTACTTGTAAGTGTACCGTAGTGATTCGGAATAAGACAAAAATGTGGTTTGGAAGATTAATTCATGATGTACTCGCTCATTATATACATTTTGCACATTTTGAACACAGAAAAAAGTTACATAGTGCTGCTTTAAAAGGGAGCTGACGAACAAGCACAATTAAACATTCATTATATACATTTATTATTGAACATTTTTACAATTTGCTTCCCATGATAATAACAAACATTTAATTGACATGCATTTTAAAAAATATTTCACACAGCTTTGTAAATAAAAATAATAATAGTTTTGAGTTTGATATTTTTTGTATATTTTTGGATTTTAGGAGTCAATGTAATATGATTAACAGATGAATAAGACTGAATGAAATGTAATGGAATATGACTAGAACAATAACACTCACTGTTTATGCTTCTGTTTCACATCAGACATGTAAATATAGTTCAGCCTGAAGGTCTCTAAATGTGTTATGGACATAAGCAAATTGATGAGGATGTGTTTACATGCAAACGTGTCGATGTTTTCTAAAAAAAAAAAAAAAAAAAAAAAAAAAAAAAAACAGGAGAGTAAAAAAAAAAAAAAGTCTCTTCCAATAGTTTTCCAATAAAAATATATAAATTCTTAAATACATTTTAGTATCAAAATGACTTAAAATATAAAGTCTTGTTTTCTAAAAACAATAACAGCAACAACTCATAATTAAGTCACTTAAAAAAAAAAAAAAAAAAAAAAAAAGAAAAAAAACAGTAAACAGCAGGAGTATGAAACGAAACAAAACTAGAATTTTCACAAATAAACCCTTTAAAAATGGTAAAATATGTTTTAATGCCCGTATTCCAGCCAATCACAATCAAGTATTTAAAGAAAATAAGACACTTTTATTGTGAAACAGCAGCAGCAGAAGTGAGAGAGTGAATGAGTGACGTGGCCAAGTATGGTGACCCATACTCGGAATTAGTGCTCTGCATTTATCCCATCCAAATTGCACACTCACACCGTGAACACACACCTGGAGCTGTCACGGCAGAGAAGAGTCAGGATCCAAGTGCGAGTGCAAAAGGTAAGGTTTATTTGTAATCACAAACAATGGAGACAACAAAGATAATCCTCGGGTCCAGGTCCGAATCAGAGCTCCACAGAGAAATCCCTTCCTCCACTGCGTTTGACCAAACCAAGGAGAAGGCTGAAGATCTGTACCCTGACTGAGCGAGAACTGGAAACAGAGACTGACAAGGAGACAGGAACATGAGGATAACGAACCGACAAACACACATTGAACAGAGTGCCCTATATAGGACTCGTTAACGAGTTGCAGCTGGCGCGCTCTGATTGAGCGCCAGCTGCAAACACTAATGAATGACGTACGCACATACAACCACATGACAAGACACAGAAAGACCGTCCGGACCCATGAACCGTGACAACAGTAATAACACTTAACGGCACAGATTTTACTACATATTTAAACTGAGCAGTGTGTTTTCCCATATGTTTGACTGACTGTATTTTATGATGATAATGAACAGGCTGCATTCACTGTAGTTTTTTCCTTCTAACAGTGGAAGAAACTACTCCTTTTAGTCCTAAAGACAATCGGAATTGTAAAAGGTTTGCTTTTATTTGTGTACATTCACAATAAAAACAAATCTTTGTGCTTTTGTAAAATAGGCCTAAAGAAAAATAGGATGCCGCTTTCTGCCGTCTTGGTTTCCTTTTGCGCAGCACAAAAAAGAACCGAAACTCTGGCAACTTATTGCACAGTTTCTCGTATAGGCCATTTATTCATTTAATATACTGTATATATATATATATATATATATATATAATGTCTTTCTCTGCTTCACAGAAGCGCTGCAGGTGCATGTGAAATAATATGACCATGTCTATCCGCATACTGTTGTCTGCTACTTTTTGCACATGTAAAATTAATCCCCGCAAAACAAATGTTAGCATTTGACATTTATCCTTTCCTAAATTTAATTCAATTCTAATTTAAAATAACCTTGTCGGTTAATGGTTAATAATCAGTTAATGAGCGTCAGTTAGGAAAAATAACCAAAATGAACATCCATAGTATCTGTAAATTAGGGATGTCCTGAGCCGATCTCTAGGATCGGGATCGGGGCCAATCAAGCCTTTTTTAAGCCTCTCCTTAGCCCGATTCTTATTTTATGTCAGCTGTCATGCCGGTGTCGTGCAGTACTCTCCTTCCAGTAGATTTGCCGTCATTTAAAGGAAAAGAAGATGCTCAAAGTATTCAGCCGCTATTAAAACCAAAAAAAGAAGAAATGTGTGTGTGATGCGTGAAGCAGTGAGGTCTATTCTAGCGCCTCACACACGTTTGAGCTTCCGTGTTCAATGTATTTGATGTGCACTTTTGTAGTGATCTATCTGAGACATTGTTGTTATAACTCGTTGCGTCTTGCTTTGGATTTGACTGAGAGACTGGCAGAGCAAGCTTCATGCTTTCTAACCTTACCTCCACCTTTTTCTAATCATTTTGCAATTATTCTGCTAATTGTACATATAAAATACAGTAAGTTTACATCAGTAGTTCCATATTCCCAGAGAGCACAGGTGCGTCTGCGAGACGTCTGGTAAAGATCTGGAAAGCATCTGCTGTGTACAAACATCTGATAGACGTCTCTAAGATGTCAGTTTTACATCATAAACACCTTAAAGACATCTTATAAATGTCTATTTGACATCTGATAGGAAACGTCCTGTAGATGTATTGCAGATGAGCAAACACTCTAAAAAACACGTCTTGTAGATATAATGCAGACGTCAAATTGACGTCTCTGAGATGTACATGTGCTGTCAGGGTTCATTATTGTGATCACACAATCTGTTTACAATTTCTACCACTGTAACGTGTTCACATCAACAAATGTCTTTATACAGTGTGTGTGTGTATATATATATATATATATATATACACACACACACACACACACACACATATACATATGTATTACATTTACTCTCTGCTCAACTACATTGGATTGATTTTAATAACTTTAATGTACTTGAATTGTGCACCAAACACTATGAATATACAAGTGACTCTGATTGGATCGGGTTCACAAAAAAACCTGTTCAGTACATCCCTATTGTAAACATTTTGGTTTTATTCATTTCTTTCTAACAGGGTCAGTATAAATTTTACTGTCCAGCTATCACACATGGGACAGAAAAATGCAGCGCAGAGTGGCCATACTTGGAGGTCAGGAAACTGGCAGTGCTTAGTGATTCAGAGCAGGCTCATTTTGAAGAGAATATGGCTCTTCTGGCAGCAGCTGAGTACTGCGAGTTCAAATCAGTGAGTAGAAATAACATTTCAATAAATATGTCTTCTGGATCATGTGAATTCATTGACAGTTAATGAACTTTCTGGTATGTCTCTCTCTAAGTGTCCAAGCTGTGAGTCCTATGTTGAGCGACAAGACCTGAGCAACCTGTGTGTGATATGCACCATCTGCACAGCTGTAAAAAAGAAGAGCTTCCAGTTCTGCTGGCAGTGTCTGAGGGAATGGAAAGGACCAGCTGCTCATTCTCTACGCTGCAGTAATGAAGACTGTGTCCACCCAGATGTTGACAAGCTAGCAAAATGTACAAATATGAGGCTGTCTTATGTGAACAATGTAGAGTGTCCTGCCATTCGTGCCTGCCCAACCTGCGGTCTGCTTTTAGAACACAATGGGTTCGCTTGTAAAAACCTTTTGTGTAAGCGCTGCAAGGTGGAGTTTTGTTTCCTTTGCCTAAAGCTGAAGCGTATTTGCAATCCGATCTGTGGACCTTATGATGTCTGCTCAGTTGCACCACGGCAGACTGATATTCCAGTTTGGAAAAGATAATGTTAGAGATAGGATTAGGGATGTCACAATTCTCTCAACTCGCGATGCGATATGATTCACGATACTTGTGTCATGATACGATTTTCTCGTGAGTTTTTGAAAAAAATGAGACTTATAAATGAAAAAAATGTCCTTTTATTATTTCTCAGACAAAAAAATCTCTCTGAAATCTCAAGCTAAGGCTTTGTCTGTGCTCTTTCTATTTAAAATTAGAGGCAACCACTGCATTTTAATCACAATCCAAGCAAAGATGCTGCATACATGCAACACGAGCAGTTTTTAATCTAAATTAGATTGTATTTTTTCAAAATTTGAAGCAAAAACAGAATGGTCTGACTATGGGAAACTATACTGAGAAGCTGCTCACTGCAGAGTAAATGGGTGGAGCTTATGTGAAGCCCACGTAAATGTGCCCAGAGAGCACAGGTGCGTCTGCGAGACGTCTGGTAAAGATCTGGAAAGCATCTGCTGTGTACAAACATCTGATAGACGTCTCTAAGATGTCAGTTTTACATCATAAACA